TAGTATTTATATATAAAAATTTAAATTTTATTTTTATACTTATATATTAATATATAAGCCCGTAAATCCGTTATAAGTCTATTATTATTATATATATATTAACTCTATAATAACTAACAAGCATTAATTTAATAGCCGCCGCTATTATAGGAACGCTATTAACTATAATTATATTAGCCCTAAATAAGCTATTAACTGCCGTTATTACTACTATTATTACTATTAATACTACTATTCTTATTCTTATTCTTTTTATTATAAGTAGAAAGTTTAATTTCCTTTTTAAAATTAATACGAAAGTAGTATTCGGTTAAAAAGTAACTCTTCTTATTATAGCGGGTATATATTCCATTCTTTATACGGAATTTAAAGACTTCGTTATTAATTATACAAAAAAAGTAGATCTCAAAAGTAGATATAGTATGAAAATTTATAGCATTACCGCCCTAATTAGTATTAATTTTGGGAGCGGAAGCGCTAGTACTAGTACCGGTAGTAGAACTAGTTTTATAGAAGGGATTAGCGTTCTTTTCGTACTAATTTTTATCCTTTAGATTCTTAATTAGGTTATAAGCCTTAATAAACTACTATTTATACTTATTATTAATAGACTAATCGTTCTAATAAATAAAGGTAATATAAATACGCTCGCTAATCTTTTAACGAAGGTAATAAACCTTTATATCATTATTAAAACCGAGTAATTAATAAAGAGGGTAAAACTTCTCTTCAAAATCTTACTATTTTATTCCTTTAATTATCTTCAACTCTTTTAATTTACAATAAGAATATACTACGACGTCAATATTATTATATTTCTTATCGAATTTATTGATTAATTCGAAGGCTATATTCTATTTAACGGGCTCGCTGGTAAAAACCTTATTAAATTTAATCTTAATAGCTTCGAAGGGAGGACCCTCGATAGAGTAGGTAATTAATAAAAGTTTCGTACGTTCGTTAATAAAAATCTTCAGTTCGTTAATTAAAATAAATTTAATACGGAGGCGTTAAGTATAATATTCAATAGTATGTTTAATAAAAGTATTTTTGCTGTCAAAAGTAGAAATATAATAATATACAATATTATTTATAGCCGCTATTATTATTAAAAGTTATTATATTAATCATGGGGTTTTTATTATTATTAAGATCCTTATTAGGAGGTAAGATAATTTCGGGTTTAGGAATAGGCTTAATTTTAAAAGCGGCGGTAAAACGTTAACGAAAGTTATTAACGTACTATAAATACTTATTACATTATTTTTTATACGCTTTTTTAAAATTACTACGAAAATTAGTAAATTTTTATTTTAAAGCGATAATATCGTTATTAAAAGTATTAATAATATTAGAATAAACGTTATAAATAACTTTAAATTCGTTAGCATAATTATTATAGAAATTATTAATAGTTTTATTATAATTTTTACTTACTTTTTATACATAGAGGAGGGTTTAAATCTAAATTATAGTAATAATACTATTGCGACGCTTAATATTATATAGCGTAGTAGCGATTTAGCTTCGGAAGTTTCGAATTCCTCCTATACTTTTTATCTTTAAATACGGGTGGTAACGATATTGTTATAGAGGAGGTAATCGAAAGCCTTAAAAACGGCCTAAAAAACAAGAAATTAAATAAAGCTAAACGTATATTTAATAATAATACCGATTTAAACTATTTAATTATTAAAAGATTTAAAGGTTTAAATAATATTAGAATAATATTTTTAATTAACCGGGTTTAAAGTAGCGAAAGCGCTAATTATAGTAATAATAAGAAAGATATCAGTTATTAAGGGAGCGTATGAAACGATATCGGATATTAATCGCTAAATTAATACACCGGGTAGGTAGAAGGGAAAAGAGAATACGAATTATTTAATAGCGATGTTCGGTTTGGTAGTTACTTAGTTTGAGGTTGGGATTGCGACGTAGGGTCTTAATTATATAGAAATAAATTTTAACTTCGAATCGATAATACTAGATTAGCGACGTTATAACGATTGTGATTAATCATAATCGCTCTTCCTTTAAATAAACGCGTATAATATAATAGTAAAGTATAATAAATTATTACGGAGCGAGAAGGTACTATTAGAGGTAGGGTAAAATATACGTTATTATACGAAGGAAAGAAAGGGAAGTATATGTAGAGGATTGGCTATATAGGCGAGAGCCTAACAAATTAGTCCGTACGCGCGCACGTGAGACTATACGTAATTAAAGTATATAATTAGTACGTGAGTGCGTGGCTCTGAGCCATAGTACCAGCTCTAGTATAGTATATGTGTAGTTAGTGTAGTGTAACCACATTATAGGCTAGCCCTGTGATAAGCAGGGTTAAAGGAAGCGAACTTATAAATAGCGTCGGGTACAGTTTAGGGACTATTTTTAAGGTTACGAATATACTAACGGTTAATAATAGCTAGGAGGGAATTACGCTCGCAGTAGATAGAAATAAAATTAACTAGTAGAAACTAGGAAATAATTAGTAAAAAACAAAAAGGGAAAGGAGGGGATGAATAATAACTTATTTTATCTATCTTTAAATACTAATACTGGTTAACCTTATTTTAATTAAGCTAACCGCCCTATTTAAACTTCTTTCTAATTATATAGTAATAAAAGAAATTATATTATTTAATAAAATTACCGTTATAAATACGTTTTAATTCCTTATCTTTAATAGCGGTATTTACTAATTCAGTTTACTGTTAAAATAATTCGAGGGCGGCAAAATTAATAATATATATAAAGTTCTATAGCGTATTATAATTAAATTTACTAACTTTTCTTAATATCTACATAATTAACTTATTTACAAAATTGGACTTTAACCGCGTAAGGGTCTCCTTAACCGTACCAAATAATATATTTAAACCGATATGACGATTCTTAAATAGCGCTTTCAAAACGCTATATAAGCCTTCTATACGGGAAGTTATACGTATATTAAAATTGTAATATATTCTAATAGTAAAATAAGCGAATTTGTAATATATAGGGAAGTAAATATCGAGAAAGTAAATAATTAAAACTAATTAATATATAAAGTCCGCCTTTAGAATTCCTCACTCCTTCTAAAACTCTTCCTCTAACTTCATATATATAATTGTATTCTATATAGTGAAAATACTATTAATAATTTTAATTTATTTACGGTTAAGATTACTACCCTTCTTACGAAGAGGCTCTCATCTAATAATCTTCTTAAAATAAACATTCCTCACCGACGCCTCGAAATAATAAATTTAATTTTAAAGATTAAATAATTAAGCGGCCACTTAACAACAAATATAGTCTTCGTTAAAAATATTTTTATAATCCTCCTACATATAACTCTTATCGCTTCTTTTATTACCTAACGTAATACCTTCTAACCTACTTTTTTTTTATATTAAAAGTAACGTTCTTTATAACGTACTATAAGTAAATTTAGTACTAGGTATTATCGCTAAGAATTGTTCTATATACTTTTTTATATACTTTATTGTAATTTATAATAATAATTAGGGGTTTAAAAATATTATAGAGCTTTAAGAGTTTTTATAATTGAATAAATACCTACGTAAAATTAGGCTCTACCTCCCTACTTAATAAGTAATATCATATATTAAAAGTCATATATATAGTAATTATACTAATAATTTGAAATAGAAGTATATCGAATTTATTAACTTTATACATACAATTTAAATTTACTACTTCTAAGTTAACTTTCAATTATTTAATATACTAATTATATATTTAAAAAACCCTCTCAATCCTCCTTATATTATAACCTCTATAGTAGTATATTTTATAATATATGTTATTCTATATTTTTAAAGACTTTAAAGAATTAATAAACTACTAAGTAAGAGTAAGCACGCCCCCTAATCTCTCTTTCTCCGTGGTAATAATATTATAAACGTTTTTATTAATAATTTAAATCTTGAAGAATTTTACTCGAATTATAGAAGCGATATTGATGTTAATAGATTTTAGTTATTTAAATAATAAAATAATTTCGTTATTAATTTCAATAATATACTAGGCGCAATAGTAGGAGGGGAAATATTTAACCGCGTTAGGGTTTAATAAATAATTATAAAAGTAATATATAAACGTTAACTTCCAAATCTCCTCTTTAATATAAAAATTCGCTTTAATAATTTAGAAATAGTTTTACTTTATAGAAGCCGCTATAGGTCGGGGCTTTACGCCGGCCGCCTTTTTAATAATACTAGTATAACGCGCGCTTTAAATATATTTGAAATCAATTTATATCGGTATCCCCTTAACGTAATTAAAAGACCTACGTTTAATAATATTAAAGCTAATATTAATAATAATATAATTAAAGTCCTTAACGAATACGTCGATATTGTCCTATTCGCGGTTGCAAAGCGCGAAAAGTATAAAGTTCTCTTTAAAAGTAGAACTTTTAAAAATAGGGGTATAATTCTCCTTATTATTATAATCTATCCCCTCTCCCGCGGGGTTTAGAAATAGTAATTATTCTTATTTAATAGCGGCGAAATATTGACCAGAAGGAGGGGAATATTCTTGCTTAATAATCTTAACTTATTTAATAAAGGGAGTCAGGCTTAAGATATGGCGCGCGGAAGGCTCTAGCTAAGAGCTAGTAAAATCGATAATTTTAGGCATTTGTAAGAAGTTAGTATATAGGACGAACGGTTAGCTAGTGCGCGCCTCCCTTTAATATTAAAATTTACAATGGCGATAGTAACGGTGACGGCGATGGCGATATATTTAATTGCTTCAATTATTAATATTAATATATAGAAATGTCACACGATATTACCAGCTAACAAAATTGGCGAGCGTTAATATGGTCGCTCATAGGTGTATTATTAGCCAGATAGACCCTACACAGTCGTGCTAGATTTGAATACAGTCGCTTTAGACGAGTCGGATGTTGTCATCGGTGGCTATACACGCACGAGCCATTTAATCCACTCTTTCCCACTGTCCTTGCCCACTACAGCGGGAGCTCCTCCCTTATAAGGTGGGGTAATGCTCACCAACGGTTAACGAAACGTCACTGGCTGTGGGGCACGGCACTTTCAGTGAGTGAGGCGCGTGCCTTACACATCCATCGATTCCGTGACCACAGCACGGCCACCGACGACACTCTTCCAATGCTCACCTTTAACTTTGAATCAAACACCGGACTATACGTGCTACTTAATCTTTATTCCCACCTTGACCATCCTCGGCCCATGCCACACAGTTCCGAACTTTGATCTCGCCACCTTCCGCGTAGATGATGGGCCTAGAATAGCGCCGGTCCGACTAGCTTCATTTCCATATCAACACAATAACACGCAAGTCGAGATACTATGACGGCTCAAGCAACAGCCATGGAGGCCCTTCAGAAGGAGCTGGACCGGCTCAACCGGACACCCGGTCTGTCCGCGACGATAGACAAGGTTGATAAGATCATTGAAATGCTCACCTCGGTGAAGGACCAGATTGTCCAAAGTGGTAGGCTCATTGCTAATCACTCATCATATCATGAGATAGTCACTGACAGAGACACAGGCATGGACACACACGTAGCCAGCATGTCCATCACAAGAACTCAGAACCCAATCAAGTCAACGTTTGAAAAGATAAACGATGATCTCAAAGGCGTGACGGCAACTCAGAGGAAGCTGGGCAAGATGCTAGACAAGCACTTCCCCCTCAAGGACCTACCATCAGAACACGACGCTATGGCAGACCAAGAACCGTTGATAAATCGTGCCATTTCTATGCATTTGCTGCGCGAGGGACAGTTCTCGGTGGCCTCCACTTTCATAGAAGAAACAGGGGACGCGGCAACTCTTGACAATGTCAACGCGGTAATCGAGGGTCAAGATCAGGCGAACGCGAGCGACAACTATGACGACGAGCCAATGGATGAAGACAGGGACGACGACGACGACGACGAAGACGAATACATGAGCCCCCTCGAAGGCGTTGCAAGTTTAGGCTTCAGACAGCTCCAAAACCTCTCCTCCCTCCAGTCCCACGAACTCGAAGCGAAATTCTCCCAAATGTACACCATCCTCCAAGACATCAAATCCCGGAACCTGCTTTCCGCAATAGAGTGGGCCCGGAGCAACTCGGTCGAGCTCGAAGCCCGCGGCAGCAACCTTGAGTTCGAGCTCAGCAGGCTGCAATACGTCTGGCTCTTCAAGGGTCCTTCGGTCAACGGGCTGCCCGATAACGAGCTCAACGGCACAGCAGGAGCACTCCTATACGCCCAACAAAACTTCTGGCGGTTCGGCAACCGCTACATCGGCGAGATTCAACAGCTTGCTAACGCGCAAATCTACGCTCGCAACCTTTCCGAGTCGCCCTACCGACACATCTTCTCGACGGAAACCGCCTTCGCGGACGTGGCCTCGTCCTTCACGCGCGAGTTCTGCAGCCTTTTGGGCTTGTCAGCCGAGTCCCCCTTATACATCGCCGTAACAGCAGGCGCGCTGGCTCTTCCACTCCTAATCAAATACCAGCAAGCCACACGAGCTAAGGGGACCGAGTGGACAACAACAAACGAGCTAGCTTTCGAGACCCCTCTCCCAGAACGCATGCTGTACCACTCCATTTTTGTTTGTCCCGTTTCCAAGGAGCAGACCACCGAACAAAACCCGCCGATGATGATCCCCTGCGGACACGTGCTGGCCAAGGAGACGCTGCAGAGGCTGCTGAAGGGAACGCGCTTCAAGTGTCCGTATTGTCCGGCCGAGGGCTTGGAGAAGGATGCCAGACGTATTATGATTTAGAAGAGCCATTATGTCGATTTGTCTGTTATGGATATCCCATCGACTATTTTTCGTAGGCCGCGTAGGCCGGTCCGGTTCGAGGGGAATGGAAGGCTAGTGCCACGACGATGACTTCATCAAGCAGCGATTTCTTTTATTGGGGGGGTCTTTTTATCTTTTGTCTACCCATCTTGAACTTGGGGGTTTTTGTTATTGTTTTTTCCACAGCTTGGACCAGCGCAGGGGGGCATAACGGGTTTTTCTGCTATTGACGAGATGGATGGGTCTACGTAGACATACACACACACACGCACGCACGCATTACTATCGCCACAGATTTGTTACATCTCTAGGACGGCGGCGCTGGATTTCCAAGATACAAATAAGGTAGCACTAGCATGAGATCAGCAAGGGGACTCACAGTTACTGGATTTGGTGGTTTGGGAAAGCGGACTAAAGAAATACTACACAAATGAGCACATGATTCAATGAATTGCAGCGGATAGATCCTCAGGTAGTGATTGACATCCATCCGGCTTTTATCTTACTCTTGTCAACGAAGTGTGGTGTGCTGGCAGTGGTCGCGTGAAGGTTGCGTGTGATGGCACATTGCCAGCACCTGCCAGATCCTTGTGTTAGTTACCATCTGGGATCTTGGGTCTTTCATCCCATCCATCTGTCACTACATATAAGAACCCTTCCCCCCCCCCACGCGTGTTTTAGGTTCCTCTTTCTTTTTCATCTTTAATGTTATATGTATTACTTTCGTCCGAACCTTTTGCCACGTCAGCCCATAGTTCTACGTGCTGTGACAGAGGTTACGTCTCAAAGCTGGGGGGTAACATAGGAACAACATCTCCTAAACCAGCATGCGGATAAGGGGTAACGGTGATGCGATGGTATACAGTGAACATGGGAGCAAACGTAGCGTACATAAGTGGATGGTAGAGATATCTCGAAGGGTCTATATAGAAGCGACGCCATCGTCTCTTTATGATATGGGAATCAAGCGCCGACCACAATCTGGGTAAGAACCGAGTTAAACAAAATACTTCGTGACTTTTGTGCAATTTGTAACCCAGAAATCATTTCTAGGGGAATAAAACACCCTGTGCCTCCTTGCCATTTACCTTCAATATGATGGAAGGTTAAGCAACTGTAAAACGCCTCTGCTTCATTTCCCATAGAAGCATTTGCAAACAGATCAAGCACACCATTCTAGGCTCTCGTGTGCATAAGACATCGAAGAAAAAAAAAGTTAAATGGTAAAAAAATGGTGGGATGTGCGTTATCCATCCCAGGTATCCGCCAAAACAAAAATAAGCCCTCTTGATATCAAAAACTCTCCAGAAACGCGCAGATGACCTTTGTTTCCATCCCGCCCTCCCAACTATGCGCATTCATGGCATGCCATATATGGTAATCCTTCACATCTTCCCGCCTTTGATTTGGTCGTAAATGTCGTCAATTGGTGATGGTCATGTCAGATAATCCGGCTCTGACGCAAACTCTATCGCCGCGCGAGAAACGCATCTAGAAGATCTTTTCAGAGTCCACATCCAACATTTATGCTTCCTTTGTCGCGTCTCGCTCCTCTCGTTCTTTGTAATTTTATTTCCACGTCAACCGCTCAGTCGATCGTCATCCGGGTCTGCAGCTGGGGTTTCTGATCCGTCATCTGGAACGAGTTCATATCATCCTTCTCTGGATCCCTGCCCTTGGGCTTGATCAAGTGCATCTTAAGTCCGTTGCCGAAGTTCCTCATGCAAATGAACGAATTGGCGATGGTGATGAGAATCAAGAGGATGGTCATGACGGCGAACGCGGTAAGGGAGCGCTTAACGGGCGTGTAATGCCAGCCATGACTTTTCGAGTAGATGCGGACAAGCTTGAATAAGAAATAAGCAAGACCACCGAAGAAGAGGACGATCACCGCGCACATGCCAACGCGGTTTTCGCGCTGCGTGAAGAAGGCAGCGCAAAGCAGAATGACAATGGTGACGGGAATCGCGGCAGCGGTAAGGCCGAGTTCGATGTCTGTCTTGCCGGTTACAACAACCAGGAACTGAATCGTGAAGCCAAGAAAGAAGAAGAAATCAAACTTCAGCAATGCGATAAAAATCTGGCAGTCGGATGTTAACAGCTGGTATTCCTTTTCGCGGCAGGGCAGACGTGGTACGAACCTGATAGTGAAGAAATCGCTTCTTCATACGATAATCGGCGCCGATCTGCTTCAAGATATCCCACGCAAACTCCTGATAAAGTTTCCAGGCGCACACGCTCATAGCAATAGTGGCGACGCCGATGACAGGGGGAATAGTAAAGAGGAAGGGCGAACAGGCGTGCCATACCGCTGCATGGGTTTCCATGGGCAGGAAAATACCGGCAGCTTGGAGCTTATCAATCGACCTGTTAATCTGGTCGATCTGAAGAATGGTATAGACGAAGAGAGCTAGGTTGGCGATGCATAGCCCGATGATCTGAATGGTGTTCTTCCAGCGCAAGGCATCCCACGTGAGAAACAGGACATAGAGGAAACCGAAGATGAACAGAGCCAAGAACGTCGGTATCGTCATGTACTGCGCATCGCGCTCTTCGTTTTGACCAGTCTTGTAGTTGTCAAGACTGCCCTGGAATTTGCCGAAAATGTATCTGATGCCGGTCAGTTTTCAATCACGACATGGGCGAAGGGACAAAAGGCCTCTCACGCTTCGAAAGTTACACCAATGATGGCCTGTAAAGCGACAATGGCGAAAAATATCTTTGCCCAGCTAGACTCGAGAAAGTCAAAGACGCCCCTCTTGGGGCGTGAAGCGGCGTTTTGAGCCATGATGGTGTCGCGGTATCGAGATGCGTTGTCTGATGCGTCGAAACTGAGGATTGGGTGCGAACCGGCCAAATAGGACCGGCGGATCTCTAGGCGGCTAGCCAGGACGGGCGGATCTGACGACTCCCCGTATAGGAGCCGGGTGGCGTGGACCAAAGATCCGTGGAGGGTTATAAAATGTGAACGTGGAGTAGATGCTGTTGTGCGTTGTTCGCGGCAGGACGGATTCGAAAAGGGATAAAGTGTATCGTTGTCGAATTCTTTGTCGTCGACACGGGACAAATGTTGCGGAGGCTCGGCGACGATGCGACAGGCGGGCGCGCCTCGGCCGGTGTTGCTCAGGGCGAGACGATTCAATAAGCGAATGAAAAGACGCAGATGTCGACAACGGAATGGGTTGCCGTCACTTTGTCAGGGGAATCGTGCTTCGCAGGTTGGAGGCCGTGGCCGTTCTGAAACACAACGAGGAGTTGAGTTGAGTTGTGTTTGAGGGTGACAGGGAGTTCGTTTCCAACACACGCTCTTCCAAAGGGCGGATTCTCCCGTAGGGGTGGTTTAAGGCCAAGCTATACCCAACCAGGCGACGGGCGAGGCCAACGTGGTAGGGGGCCTTGGGGAGGCAAGGGGGGGCATCAGCCGGGCCGGCGGATTGTCGAGTCGAGACGGTCGAGTTGGCGCGTCGGGTGAAAATCAGAACCTAATCTCCCGTCGAGCGCGAACCGATAGCTTATAGAGCGAGTCGAGTGGACAGTCTGTGGACGGAAAAGGGACCGCGTGACAAGGAAAGAAATGGAGAAACGAAGGACTATCGAGGAGAAACGAGTGACTAGGTGTAGGGTGGGATGGCGGATATTAAGGTATTGTTGGCATTCGAGGTGTGTGTAGGACTGCTGTTGATCAAAGGCTAGAAATCCGGGGTCTCGTTCTTTTCGCCCGCAGTGCATGCAGCCCACAGGGTTTGTGGACACCCGCGAGACCCGCCAAGGTGCATTCAGTGGGTGCGTCGGGTGGGAACAGTGGCAGACAGGCGGGAGCCTGGAGTGGGTGCCAGTGCCAGTGACAGGAACCGAAGCCAAGCAAATCGCAAGAGCAACACGGGGGAGAGACAGGGGCTTCTTTCCATTATTTCTTTGTCGTGCAGTGTGTACATTGTTTGGCAGGGCGTTTCTGATCAACCCTTCCTTACACTAGCGTCCGCGGCGCATCCACATGTTGGACAAGTCTGAATGCACATCAGCCTCTCGGTCACCACCAGGAACACAATTCCCAAGAATGCCTCGGGCAGTGCCTTGTCAAGCCCGGTCTGGGCCGGGGTTAATCTCGTTAAGGGCTCGCTGAAAAGCTTGCTGAACTCGCTAACACGGGATACCTGGAAATCATGGTTAACATCCCAATCTGGCACGGCTGGCTCTTCCCGTCTTGCAAAGGGAAACAATGCGCCGCTTCTCTACACACATGCTAAATGCGGCGTGCCTTTGGTTTCACAATCCTCAAAGTGGGCGACCTCCAAACTGTAAATTTTGAGAATTGTTGAGTGACAAAATACGAAGCAGTGCACTTAGCGAGGGAATCTGTCCAAGATGAAGTTTCCCCCCGGGCAGCTTTTGAAGATGCCCAGAGCTAAGCTGGAGTCTGCAACAACACTCATTCTTGAGCATGAGATATTCCCATGTACCGGTAGTGAAGAGGTAAAGATTAACCAAAAAGATACCGAGCACTCTACCCAGCCTCGGCTCTCCCTATCTCGCAGAGTAACATCAAAATTCCAGCCCCTAAAAAAGGTCAACAAGGCTCCACCAAATTCCTTCCCCTTTTTAACTCGAACAGCTGCTGAGCCACAGTGTCCCACACCTTCATGCGGCCCGATGACGATGGAGTGCAGCATTTGAACCAGGCCCTACAACTAAACTGTCCGTCATGGCGTTGGCGGCTCCGTTACGATACTATTTTTGATATTAATGTTCGTTGAATCGGGCAAGTGATGGATGATCTATCAGGTCGTTGCCTTCATACTAAGTAAGGTAACAAACTTGAGGTTGAATTGGCAACAGGAGATGCCATAGGCCCATAGCCGCACTTTGGTCACTTCGGCGCCTATACTGTACCTGAAAGATATCATAGCGGAGACCAAAAACCTTGAGCCTCGGAGGCGTAGCAGCCATGTCGTCAAGGTGATTTAAAGTTTAGTTATCCCCGCGGAGGCTGTGTAACTCACGGCCAAATGCTATGGGATTTCGAAAGATGTTTACATCTTAATTTTGCAAGTGACATCCAACAATGACTTGCAATGCCCTGCGAACTGGCAAACAGCCAATGCGGTGACATCCAAACAGCACTTGCACAGTGCCGGCAATATGGACTCATATTACTCAGTGGGCAAGCTGAGACTGCGAACGATACCTAGTCCTCGTCACTCGTTCTCTTCCTATGCTCATGCGAACTTGGACATTCAGATGCTTGCATTGTGCAAAGTAGGAATCTTCAACCCAATATCAAAGTTTCATAAGGCGATGGAAGATCCGAGGAAGTTATGCAACGATTGGTAACCGCTGCATTGGTACCGCTGGCATCCACCTAAAAGAGTTCCACTTACACGGTGCGGCCAAGCTCCAGTTCGCGTCGCCTGGCAACCGCAATTTGTTTGTCACCTTGACATTTCATCCACAAACACGCCTTCGAAGAACGACATCATGTCCGAGATGGATGCTGAAGTCGCCGACGACATCCTGGCCAGGGTCGCCCAGGATGGCTCTATGGACTAGTATGTTATCCTCCCTGAATCTCATGTACATACTTGTACTGACGGCCTTGTTCCCATCTCAGTTCGTGCTGGCCCAAGTTGTTGCCCATCGTAGTCGCGCGCATTGAGAAGGCAAGTATACTTTCATTGTCCCCAGTCGTCGACGCCAACTAGCTAACCTAGCCCGTTCCCCCACCTCTAGATCGCCCACACTGAATTCCCCATCCCCGACATTCCTTCTCCGCAACCGCCCGCCAGACCTTCGTCCCCGCGCTTCCTCGCCCCGCTTCCCTCTTCGTCCGACCCGATCGATACGCCGCTCAGTTCGCAAGAGACCAACAAGGAGAACGATGCCCCAACGTCAGCACCACGCCTAGCTGCCGGCGACAATGTTGCTTCCTCGCCGCCCAAAGCGCCCTCGCCCGTCCCCAATGCGACAACCGAGCCGTCTCAGGCACAACAGCCAGTCCTTCCTGTCCCCGTGGCCGAAATGCTGAACGGAGTGACATCTCACCTGACGGCCAACTTCCCCGATTACCCGCCCCATACGATTCAGCGTCTCGCCGAGCTGGTCCTCAAGCCGCGCCCTCAGTACAGGAGCGTGGTAGGCTACCTGAATGCGCTCGACCGCGTTGTCCACGTTACCAGCGGAGCAAACCTATACCCATTACCGCCCGCGATCCCAGACCTGAGCGGTATGGGCGGCATGTCCAACGGAGGTCCTGCTTCGGATAACGGGACTCCCAGCCTTTCCGCGGCGAACAAGATCGGATCCGACGAGGCTCTAGGCGGCGCGCTGCTCACCCCCATCCCGTGGTTGACTCGAAGGGCAAACGGCGACGGCGGTGATGACGACGGAAGCATTAGTGACGCAGGCAGTTCGTCACCGTTATCAGCCAGCGGGGCGTCCGACCCCAACACCCACCAAGAACAGCAGCAGCGAGCTCTCGCGCAACAGCACAGCCACATCACCTTCGCCCAGAGCTCCGTCAGTCCGCAGGTTCGTAAGGAGAGCACCGAGATGATTGAGGGCCCCAACGGCATGGGAAGCATAGAGACGGTCTCGATCTCGTTCAACGGGATCCCTTCTACCGGAGCGGGCAGCGGCCTGCTGGGTCTCTCGCAGCAACCACAGCGAGGCGTCACGCAAGGAGAACTGCTCAGGCAGGAACAGCGCGCGGGCGTTGTTCCTGTTAGCCAGGTTGCTGGAGGGAACAACAACAACACTGCCCAGGGCTACACGGCTGCTCAGACTACCCCCCTCAGCGCTGCCGCCCATGGCGAGGGTTCTTCAGCTACTGCTACTACAGGTCCACCGGACGAAGACATTGTGATGGGTGAGAACTCGGATCATGAGGAGGAGCAGGAGGAGGAGGAGGTCCCCCACGCTCGCGGTCCGCAGGAGATTGGACCAGAGGATACCGGGCCCCAGAGCGCAAGGAGCAGCATTGCCATGTCACATACGGGCGAGGTGGACATGAGTGCGCTTGACGTCGAGGCTGCGGTGGGCAGGAGGTTACAGTCACCACCAGCAGCTAGCAGCAGCAGCAGTGCGCAAGCAGATGTTACGACGACAGCCGCCTCCCAGAGCGGCGGCGGCGATGCGGAGAACTTAGTTCCCCAAAGCCCTAAGCGGGAGGCGGAGGACGATGAGTCGGAGCTCGGCAGTACGCAGAAGAGACAGCGAACAGAGGATAAGGCTGACACGATCACAACGGAGGAGGCTAGCAGCTCGACGACAGAAGTCACAAAACCCGAGAGTTCGGAAGTGGCAAAAGATGAGGAGGTGCCGGTGCAGAAGGATGCGAGTGAGGATGAGGACATGGTGCTGGTGGACCGACCAGCTCCTGGTTCCTCAGAGACAGCATCAGCAGCAGCAGGAGAGGAGAAGCAAAGGGAAGGAGGGGAGCCGTCAAATCAACCAGAAGCCGGAGCTGGAGAAGAGCAACCAAAGTCTTCCTAGTATGAGAGAACGTTGACTCTGTTGGGTCCCCTCAACAAAGGGACATATCTTTTCGGCAGTCGTAGACGAAGATAATGGATGGATAGGCATATCCAGGGAGGGAAGAAGTTGGATGAAACAAACGACATGTCTGTTTACTTGGATTTGATAGTTTAGGTACCTGTATCAGCGGCATGGTGGGTTTTTCAGATATGTCAGATATGGACTACAGAACACACACACACTGTGAACCATTCAATGTGTTTACGGATATCCCTGTTATGATGAAACATCTTTTTGAGTCCACCTTTGCTGAGAAAGTAACTTGTGTTGATCAAAGGAAATTATTGGCCAAACTGGTCGTGAAACAGACAATGGAACCCACAGCCCTGAATTAGCAATCCGAGAGAGAGGCAACGTTATCCATTAACAAGAATTTAGATATCACATTCTAGCTTCGCCCACCTCTGTACAGCCTAGCCCCCAAAATAACATTGATGTCAAAACCTACACATCCCCCCCAAATGACCTCCCTTACTCCGAAATCCTCGTAATGTTCTCCCTCGTAATGACACTATTCTGATTCTCATCCCTCTTCACCCTAAAGAAGTCATCACAGAAATCGCTACACTGCATATGCTTCAAGAACTCCTCGTCGTGCGTGATCACGACCAGCTGCAGATTATTCTGCGACCGTCTCGCCTTGATGATAGCATGCAGACTCTCCGCCAGACTGCGGATGTTGTCACTATCCAAGTTCGTCGTCGGCTCGTCGAGCGCGATCAAGCCACAATTAGCGCCGAACGACTCGGCCAGGGCAAGGCGAATGATGATGCAGGCCAGCACCTTTTGGCCCGCGCTGCAGCGGCCGCGCATGTCCATCTCCGTGTCGCCCTTGATCATGTACACGCGATAGTTGAAAACACGGCGCGTGTTGGCGGCGCCCGAAGCCGTCGACTCCATGTCGGACCGGATCTGGATCGTGTCGATGTCGGTCCCTTGGTACGTGCTCTGCCACAGCTCGCCGATGGTCCGGTTGATCTCCTCCATCTTGAGCGAGTGGTACTGCATGATGGCGTGGTCGAGCGCCATGGTGCCGCGCGCGAGATCCTCGATGGCCGCCTTGGTGGTTTCGACCTTGATGTGGCTCTCCTTGTACCTCGCGCGCGCTCCTTTGAGCTCGATCTCGTACTCCTCTTCGAGCCGGGCAAACTGCTCGTCCTTGGTCGACATGGAGCCCATGAGCCGCTCGCTTTCGGCGTTGAGCTCGCCGCGCCGGAATTCGAGCTTGTGCGCCTCCTTGACGAGACGGTCGTAGTCCTCTTGTGCGTTGCGGGACTCGAGCTCTTCGATTTCTTCCTCGAGAGCATCGCGCTCGCGGAGGTTCTTGCGGTAGGTGAGGTTGTCGGCGATGTTGCGCCTCTTGGCGTCGCTGTTGTCGATCTCCTTGTTCAGCTTGTTGATCTGGATGGTGAGGTCTTTCATGTCTCTTTCGAGGGTTGCGATTGTGCTCTCCAAGCTGGCAATGGCCCGCTGGTTGGAGGCAAGGTTGGCAGGACCTCCTCGGTCGAGATAATCCTGGATTTCGCGGTTGATCATCTTGAGCTCGCTCACCGTAGTGGCGATCCCATCACGCTCCTCTGCGATCCTCTGCTCTCTGGCTCGGCCCTGCTTCCGAGATTCCTCGAGCGCTGCCCTTGCGCTGGCAATTTCTGGGTCAATGCCCTCGACCTCCTTGTCGATGTCTTGCATGTTCTTGCGAAGTTGGCTCTGCTCCTCCTTGTGATTCTTAATCGTGTCCTGGAGACGCTTCTTGTGCTCTAGTTTCTGGACGGCCTCAGTAATTTTGTGCTTCAACTCCAATCTCTCAACCTCGAGCCGAGCGGCCAGGTCCTTCAACCGTTGCCGTTCGGTGGTTAACTTGGTCAGCTTGGCTTGGGCAACTCTCAACTGTTCTGCACAGGTTGTTTGGTCATCGTTGATCTCGTCAGCGCTGCGCACTTGAATGCTCGAATTCTGCTGGGATCTCTCGATGTGTCTCTCAGAATCCGCAATATCCTTGACAGCCTGTGCGATTTTCAGTACGCTCTTACTCAGCACATCCGCCGCATTCCGCTCCTCTTCGGCAACTTTGAAGGTGCCATCCTGGTCCTCGAGTAGTCGAACCAGCTTTTCCTTCTGAGACGTTAGGGCAGTGATTTCTTCGGCCATGGACGGCAGCTCCTTACACAACCGTCCATATGTCTCGTACTTCGTCCGCACACTTCTCAGCGTCCCAAGGTAACGTCTGTACCTGGCTTGATCTTCAAGCAGCTTGTCTTTGTTTTGGAGGTTAAGCTTGGCTTCGATATTTTCCATCAATTTTGCCTTGGCTTCCTTGTCGCCTTCCACAGAACGCTCACAGAGTAGGCATATATGCTTTTTCTCTGCTTTAGTCTTCGCTCGTGTGAAATACTTCGCCCATCCGCCAGCCAGTTCCAGGTCCGTGTCGATTTCCTTCAACTCTTTCTCGGTCCATTCAACTGTCTCTGTGTAATCGTCTACCGACACCGTCGCCGGCATATCATCAGGGCGCTGCACCTTGATCAGAGCTTCGAGAACGTCTTTCTTGCAGTTATCCCTTTCTTTTACGGACTTGGTCTGCTTCTCACGAGCAGTGGTAAGCTTGTACTCAACCTGCTTCAGTTCTTGCTGTGTTGAATCCTTCGCCTTTCTAAGCTCAGAGAGTCGGTCGCTCAGCCGTCGGAGGGCTTTCTGAAAGTCTGACTCGATGGTTTCCGGTGTCCAGTCCCTTCCGACAACATCGGTCAACTGCTGATTGAACGTGTTCTTCAGAATGTCTAGTTCTCGCTTCCGTTCCGTAAGCTGCTTCTTACGAAGTTCAAGTTGTGCACGTTCGGATGCTAAATTGGTGTATTCGACCAATTCCCGACTTAGCTTGGCACCTTGAGCTTCTAGAGTCAAGACCTCGTTGTTCAGCTCCGTGATCTGTGAATCAAGTTCTGCCACTTTGTTGTCAGCCTTGGCTGCCTTGATTTTGGACTCTAATCCCTCCATTTCGGTCCGTAGCACTGCCTCCGCGCCTTCATCAACATCGAGATTGTTCAGTTCCCCTTGAAGTTTGGTAATATCTCTTTGAAGTGTCGCGACTCGCTGGGATGAGGTCTTCCGGTCTCGAATGCGGGACGCCTTGCGGCTCTCTAGTTCCGTGATAATGGCGGATTTTGCGTCCAGTTCGGCGGCGTTGTCGCGTTGAAGACGTTCCAGATCCCGTTTCGTGTCTTGGAGCATTTTCTGGATGCGTTCGTAGAATGCATTTATCTCCTGGTCATCCAAGTCACCGTCGTAGCCGCGGATCTCGTGCTTTTCAGCTGCTTCTTGGATCATCTGACGTTGCGAAACGAGTTGGCGGTCATATTTGTCCTTGTCAGACTGATGCTTTCCTTGCTCCTCAGCCTTAGCGGTATGCTTGGCTCGGGCGGTCTTGAGCTCGGTCTGCAGGGTGCCGAATTGGGCCACCTTCTGATCTCGGTCGCTGTTCATTCGCTCAACAGTCTGTCCGTATTGGTTGAGAACGTCTCGAAGATATTCGTCAGACTCTGTGCTCTCCTCGATACGTTCCCGCAGCTCTGCGATGGCATCTTTCTTGTACTCTAGTTTCTCCTGTTTGGTCTGCAGCTCGTTGACGATCCTGAGGAAACTGTTGGCCTGCTCCCATTTTTGCTTGATTCGAACATCCTCATCCTTGATTTGTTCTAGCAGCTCGTCGTACTTGTCGCGAGCCTCTTGAATCTCGCGAGTGAGCTTATTTAGCTCCCTGTCGACCTTGTCCAACCTCTCCTTGTTCTCCTTATCTTGGGCCTCTTGCACCTTGAGGATTCGAAGCTCTTCACCCTTTTGCTTTCGAAGATGCTTGAGGTTGTCGATAACTTTAGCGTACTTTTGGGCTTCGAAGATTTCGTCGAACCTCTTTTTCAGCTCAGCCGGGGGGGCCATGGGCCAGAGGGACTCGTCCTGATGGCAAAAGATAACCGCGTCTAGCACAGCTGGTGAGACGCCCAGCTTCTCGGGAACGAGCTTGTCGAGCTCCAATACTTTGGTAGATATTACTTGGCGATTGCCATTGGCCCGCAATAGGAGACTTCCTTCGAGGGCATTTTGGGTTCTTTTGGCCTTCTTGATGACCAGCTGCATGTTTCGAGTTACGACGAAGGATTCACCAAGAGTGGAGCGGAAAGAAAGCTTGATTTGTGCCTGTACATCCTTCTCACCGACGAGCTGCAACATATTATTTTTAGCCGGCGTCTTCCCAAAATCAGGGACAGTCGACAGTGGCACTCACGTTAGGGTCGTGGATGAAAGCCCCGCCCACCTTGCTGTTGGGCGGAAGCTCGCCAGTAGTAGCGTATTTGAGACATTCGATGATGGTGGTCTTGCCTGAGCCATTGTAGCCGACGATGAGGGTTAGTGGGGTGTTGAAGGCAATGGCCTCTGGGTGGCGTGGCCCAAAGGAGCGCACGCCCAAGATGGACATTTTCTCGATCTTGGACATGTTGGGCAACCTCTCAAGGATTGGGTATGGACTGGGCCACGTGCCTCGCCTTTCTAGATGGACGTGCTTCCGGGTGAGGTCGACGATAGAAGTAGGGATGGAGTCGCACACTTGTCGATGCTGGACGCGTTGCAGTCGCGGGTTTGCAGCGTCTGATGGAGCATGGGACCAGGCAGCAGTAGCGCGAACTGCACGTACTCACGGGATCTGCTATTGACCGAGTGTTGCCGCGAAAACATGCTCTGCCAAGCTGCCAAGCTGCCAAGCAATCGGTTGCCGAAAGCAGATGAAGCCAAGACCGCCAAGCCTTCAATGCGCGTGCAACCGGATCATCTCGTCCGACAAAATCCACTCACGAGACAGAGTCCCCAACCCGACCGTGACATCTCCGGACAACCACGAGGCATTCCCGAGCGTGCTCGCGCGTCTGTCGAATCCAGTGCGGTGGGGCGCGTTTCCCACCCTTTACCAATCACCGTGACCGGCGACAAGCCCGAAGTGGCAGGGAAGCCCAGGCTCCAGCCCAGAGAAGGGGGTCTTGAGGGGCCGCGCAGTGGGGGGCCATCTGTTTTGACTTTCAGTTTGAGCAGATTTGAAGAGACGGGACCAGCAGAGGCCATCGAATACTATGGTACTAGGTGCTCTGAAATTGTGAGGTAGGCGCGCAGAAAAAAGAGAGACTGGAACATGGAACAAATCAGGGAGGTAATTTATAGTAGAGTAAGTAACCGAAGGTATGTACCTGTACCCAGACGACCCAGAGTGCCAGACTTGAACCAGAGGCTGCGTGCGTACTGGTTCTTGGATCTCGCTGACGGAAGCCGAGGTAGGTATCACAAAGAACGCCGCAATCCCTTCTGCCATTCCTCGAGAGCAGAATTAAATCAAGCTGTGCTCCCCATCTGATCCATATGTCAAAGAGGCAAAGTGGAACGCCATGATGCTGATCAACCGCTGGAAAAGGTACCTCACAACGTGGGCCCTCCACCTGCCTCCGACTCGGGATACCAATACGTAGGTTTTACGTTTTTTACAGGGAGCAGACAGCCATCTGGGTGTGTATGCGTATGAACTTTGCTCGATTCGAAATGCATATCTCCCTCCCACTCCAGGTCCGATTTCATTCATCTCAACTACGACGTCTACAACGTAACTAGTGGAAATAGGCCGCATGGTGCCATAATACCTAACCTGCTCGGCCTATCAAGAGTCAAGACTGACAGCAGGCGAACTGGGAGAAGACAGACGTGACCATATCTTGGTTGTCTGTTAGGCCCTGCCGTCCAATGCCACCGCTTCTTCCTTCAACACAAGTATCTACCTCCTAACCTAAACTCCTCACGGCGCACGCATTGAGACAACCCTCAAGCCACGGCCTACTACGACACGGGCACACGGCACAGATTGGCGGTAATGACTTGGTAACAACCAAGTTTCCTCATGTAACCACGACCCCTCGACCTTCCACCACCACCACCGCCAGCACGGCACCAGCAAAGCAATACTTTTGAGTCTGAAAGTGGGGACTTTTGGAGGGCTCAGTTCAAGATTCCCATCTGCCATCCCAGAAATCCCATCCTCGTTAAGGGCGCCATTCCCCCAGGTCCCAGATCATCACACGCCCACCCCCCGCTCCCATCCTTACCGGGCTTGTTCATTTCCCTGATCGACAACACCCTTTGCCTTCCATCTTTTGTCGTTGCTGCGCCGCGGTTTTTGGACGTACACAAGACGTCGACTTGGTCTCGCAGCACTTCACCTTTACTATCTGCTGCATTTCGGCCTGAATCCAGTCTGCAAAAGCACCGACCACACAAGTCCACAGCACAACGCCGCCATCAAAAGCAACGTGACTGGAATATCGCCCCGTACTCCATCTTTCGAAAGTCAGATGCAGAAAACAAATACTGCAATATCGCATGGGGGACTAACCTAACGAACTTTTTCGAATTGCGCGCTTGTGTTGCTGTTAGTAGCCCATTCAAAGCGGGCTCCTTCTTCAGCTCCTCCTCCACCGCCGAAAAGTCAGGAACCACCAGGAAGCAGCAGCAGCACGAGCAGCAGCGGCAACATTGAACAGCAGCAGCAAAACGAAGGTTTTCTTCGATGCGCCGCCGCCGTCTACACCTGCAATTGTCAGATTGCCGCCATCTCGCCGCCTCACCACTACTACCTACACTACTACAACCACCAGAACAATGTCTCACGGACAGCCTCCACCCGGATCCAGCATGTATGGCTTTGGAGCCATGGGAATGGGATCCGGTATGGGAGCCGGCATGGGAACTGGCATGGGAACCGGCATGTCAGCCTCGCAGGTGCGCAGCAGCAGCAGCAAGCAGCATTTTCTTTTCCGTCTGATCTTTTTGATGCGTTTATGCTGGACGAAAATGACAAGCAAGCTAACGATTGGCCGATTGATCGGCCTTCAAGCTGCAGATGACTTCCGACCCACAGGACATGATGTCGCTTCTGGACCCTTCGGTGTTTTCTGGGTTTGACGGAATGTCGATGAGTCTCGATGTCGGCGATTCCATGTCAACCCCCTTCACCCCGGTCTCGGTCCAGCCACCCCTCCCTGCGTTACCTGCAGGGCCAAGTCACGTTGGGGTGCGCGGCGGTCACGGGGCCCCCGACCAGCTATTTTCCCCCGACGACGTTATTGCGACCAGCATGCCCAGCGCCGGACCGATGATCGCCACGCCTACCACCACCACCTCCGGACCTTCGGCCGGCCCTTCGTCGGGCGGCGGAAGCACCCTGACCGAATTCACCAAGCGCCGCAATTGGCCCGCCAAGGTTGTTGAAGAGCTCCAGGACTGGGAACACATTCTGGATGCCAACGGGCGGATAAAGCATGTCTCGCCCAGCGTAGAGCCCCTTACCGGCTATAAGCCGCCGGAAATCATTGATTTGTTCCTCAGGGACCTGATCCACCCGGATGACGTCGGGGTCTTCACCGCGGAGATGAATGAAGCCATTGCGACAGGATCCCAGTTGCGACTATTCTACCGGTTCCGGAAAAAGGATGGAAACTGGACCATTTTCGAGACTGTCGGTCATGCGCACATCGCCGCGGCCAAGTTTGCACCCAATCCGCAGAACCAGTCGCCCTTCTGCCAGGCCGTTTTCATGATGGCTCGGCCCTACCCGACCAAGAACGCGGGTCTGTTGGATTCCTTCCTGGAGCACAAGATCGAGAACGAGAGATTGAAGCGCAGGATTGCCGAGCTGCGCAGAGAGGAGCAGGAGGAGCAGGAAGAGTCGCAGAGAACATGGCGGATGAGCCAGGAGGGACGATCTGATGTTACGCCGTCCGACGATACCACGACCCAGCTGGGAATGACGCCTTTCTACATTCCCATGAATGCCCAAGCTGACGTTATGATGCCGCCACCCAGCCAGCCGGCGTCGTCGCTTAACATTGCGCTGACGCGGGAGAACCTGGAGGGCATTGCCGGAAGCCGGCCCGATTCTATACGCGAAAAGATGTTACGATATGAGGGCAATCACGCAGACACGATTGAAATGCTTACAGGGCTGAAGTACCAGGAGGGTGAGAGAAGTCATGGTATCACAACGGGCAACGCCAGCCCGACGCTCATTAAGGGTGATGCGGGAATTGCGATTCCACTAGACCGAGATCCCCGGACGGGAGAGAAGAAGAAGAAGATCAAGGTTGCAGAGGAATACGTGTGCACCGACTGCGGTAATTATCCCCTATCCCCTCCTACCCCCCGCCCCTCTCTCTCAAAATAGCTTCTTTTCGACTTCAGTTTCTGACAAGGATGCTGAAACAGGTACGCTCGATTCCCCCGAATGGCGAAAAGGACCTAGTGGACCAAAAACACTCTGTAATGCATGCGGTCTTCGCTGGGCAAAGAAAGAGAAGAAGAAGAACGCCAACAATAACAACAACGGCGGAGGTATGGGCGGTCACGACAACCATACACCAATGGGTGATAATATGGGATAAAAGATGAAGATGCGCAATGAACCACACGAACTGCAAGCGGCTATATACCTATACGCAACCAAATTCGACCGCTCTCAACATAACCTCGACACTTATCAAGATCCACAACACAAACGGTCGGCGCATTTGCCCTTCAGATTGAGAAAAAGAAAAATGACCGGTTTATAGAAGAACGAAGAGAAACTACGAAGCGGGGGTAGACACTTATCGGACATTCCTTGCTGTGGATTGAAGGAGGGGAGACTAGACAAGGAAAAGGTGCGCCGGGCGCGGGTGCATGAGGAAGAGACGGACCAAAAAAACAGAACGGCACCGATTCCGTGCTGCCTGGTTCGCGGAGCAGTCTTGACATGCGCAGCTTAGCTTTGTGGGCCGTCCCGGGAACGTGCCTAGGAGAGCCGGTGGTGCATGGTACGATGAGATGGGGAAAGAAAAACCGGCATCGTTACGAGACACTTTTTTTTTGGATGGACATATGACTGGGAACCGGTTTGGCTTGGGCAGGAAGAGGAATTGTCACGCCGCCCTCGCCGGCGAGTGAGTTTTACCAAGCGATGAACGGAAGGGCGCACACGAGAGAAAGGGGTTACTATACCACCATGTTAACGCGTGCATTTGAATGATGATGAGCTACCGCCACCTGCTGGTACTAGGCTTTTTGGTTATCACAATGGCTGCTAATGCCAACCGGTATAATTTTACAGTGAGGGTGATTGCGCCGAACGGTCTTTCGAGCGCTGTTGTTCAGCAACTCGGCCTACTGGGTTCTTTCTCTTGGGCCTTTGGCGGCTAGGTATGCTGCATTTGACGTCTGACTTGGAGGAAGAAATTCCTCGATGGCCAGATGATGGGACTTTACCAACAGGGATAACGGAGATCACGAGAAAGATCATGATCCTAGGAGGAACTTTAAGTTCCCAGCATTAAGCTGACTTGACGGAGGAGCAGGTTTACGTTAAGCTAGAGAGACTGGAGTGTGCAGACGGAACAGACGGGCAGAGACGGGCAAGGAGCAATCCAAGGATACGTCCGAGATCCACAGAACCCTTTTACCCGGACTTCATCGACCCTGCCTCCTGCGACTGAGCACTCATGCTCTGTTCCCGTGGGAAGGGGATGCAAACCGCCAAATGGAGTTTGATTCAACGGGTTGATGCCCGTTGATGTTCCACGAGAGATACCGTTCCAGCGTCACCCGTATCACGGTGGCTTGACTTGTGTGTTAGAGTCATCAAAAGGGTCAAGACGACCTAGCCAAACGGAAAGGCTGGCGGCCGGGACGAAAAAAGATGCAAGATGTATGAAGGGTTTTAAGGAGACCCTGCTTGCTTGAAGATACTACCCATGCCCAACGACGTGTTTCTTGAACGATTTTGAGAAAGGTTGGGAGGTTGGGTACCTGCTTTCATAGGCGACAGGACCTAATAAGTGTACTGCATAGTAGACGCCGCCTGAGAGAAGGGGATCCATGGGATGGTCCCTCGATAGGTAGGTCGTCGCTGGAGAGCAACTTCAAAAGAGGGGGTTTCAGGTTCACGGCAGCTTTGCCCCAGCGGGCCAGCGCCCAAAACTCACCCCAGCCGAACGAACCATCAGCGTACCGTATCGATAAGCGCGATAAGGGGCACCGCCCACGCTTGCTACCCCGCAGAAACGTCATGGATACCACAGCCCCCAGAGCCCGAGGGGTAAAAAGCACAGGAAAGAAGGAGGTACTTGGGGGCTTCTGGGCGCCAAGCTTTCTTTGCCCCCTAATTCCGTTCAAGCCCCCAAGTAACCGGATAGATGGTTCGAGTTGATCTGAAGATTTGCGGCGGCGGGCGGGTGAGCGGGCAAGGACGCTCTACCGGTACCACATCTAGACCCATCCATCATAGGGTGCCAATCAGCTGTGCTCCATTTGCTGACGGGGAGAAAGGGTCAAGGAGGCGAGAAGGAGGGGAAGATCAGGAGGGCGACGAGAAGGGACAGAGGGATGACGGGAAGTTGTTGCATACAGCCTAGAGCCGCTCAACATTCCAGTTGGGTTGACATGGACGGAAATTGATCTCATCTTGCGTTGATACCTTACCTTACCTTGCTTCATGACTTTCAGGCACTCTGTACCCACGTGCAAGCTGTTTTAGGTACCGTTGAGCTTTATGTACTAGCCTCCTTATTACAGCCAGGAAAACAGGTCCCCTTCTTTCTTCAGCTCCCTTCCCCACCTTTTCCCAAGTCTTGCATTTAGGTTCCTGTCAGGCACACAAACCATACACCATAGACTTCTGCATCAACCGACCAAACAAGGAGATCCAGATATCATATACAGAAATCAGACACAATGAACAGATTCATCGGCAAGGTCGTCGACAAGTTCGGTGGTGATGATGATGACGACAAGAAGCAGCAGAGCCAGGGTAAGTTCCAGTTCTCCAGCCTCGTTAACCGCCGTCCTGGTCCTCCTCCTTGGAACCTGGACCTGTGTGCGCGACATGATGCTAACTTGCGCTTCCTCTGTCAACAGGCGGGCAGTTCTCAGGCCAACAATACACGGGCGGACATCAACAACAGCAGCAATACTCTGGCGGCGGTGACTGTACGTACATACCTACCCAAGAATCCAAGACCTACCCAAAATGTTTCATCCCCATATGATCGGAACCATGCGCTTTTCTAACACGCGCATGTTTTTCCCACAGTCGCACACGGCGGCGCCTACCCTGCTGGCGGCGGCTATGCCTACGAGGAGGATGATGACTTCCGCGGCGCGGCCAACCACGCGGCCAACCACGCCGATGAGGACGAGAGCTTCTTCTCGAACATTTTGAACAGCCTCAGCTCCAAGAAGCAGCAGGTTGCTGAGGAGGATATTGATGAGGATGGTTAGTACAATTTCCAGTTTTCCGCGCGGGCGCACACGGGCGCCTGCGCTCCTCTTCTTCCCCAGATCCATCCAAGACCTATCCATTCCAGGTCCTCATCATGCATATCATTAACCGCCCTTACTCCAAACAAACAGAAGCAGTCCGCGCCCACAAAACCTTCTACTCCTCCTCCGCCTTCTCGCCCAGCTCCGAGACGCCCGAGGCGACCTCAAGCGGCATGGGCAGCGCCGCGGCCCTGCAGGCGCTCAAGCTGTTCACCAGCGGCTCCTTCTCGTCGTCGCAGTCGCAGTCGCAGAGCGCCTTCATTGGCCTGGCCATGTCGCAGGCCTCCAAGCTGTTCGACCAGCAGGCGTCGGCCGGCAAGGTGTCGGAGAGCACGGACAAGCAGAGCGTGGTGATGAAGGCGGGCGAGATGGCGCTCAAGATGTACCTCAAGAGCCAGGGCGCCGGCGGCAGCCAGACGTCGTCGCACACGCAGACGCAGGAGAGCTCGAGCGGGTTGGGCGGTCTGTTGAACATTGCTGGCAAGTACTTGAAGTGAGCGAGCGAGTTCGGGAAGTCTCTCTTGAGGGAAAAAGGCCGGGTGGTCTATGAGCGAAGGAGCTAAGGTGTAAGGAAATGATTTCATGAAGAAAACGGAGATGATGAAGTGATGAATACGACTATTTACAGTTTCGAACATCAGGGTATAAACAGGAAACTGGTCTAAACCATACAGGCGAGGATGCTTAACCGTACAAGCCACCTTTTTTTTATCAAAACCAAGCGCTTTTTTACACTTGCCACAGTCGAGCCGATCTATCTCAAAGTCTTACCACTCCTGAACCTCGCCGGGCTCAGGCTTCTGCATGCGAACGACCTTGTCGCAGTTGAGAATGCACTTGGGGTCCAGGGCCTGCTTGATCTATTTTGGAAAGGGATGTTAGCACTTCACCCTTGACTGACCTAATTTTATAGGAAATGCGTGATGTTAAGCTTACCTTTCTCATGGTATCAACAGTGGTCTCACCAAGCTCGTGGGGGAGATAGTCACGCTTGACGAGACCGACACCGTGCTCACCAGTAACGGTACCCTCCATCTCCACAGCGCGCTTCACCATGCGGTGGACGCAGTCCTCGGCCAGCTTTCTCTCGGCGTCACTGTAAAGGAGAAGAATGTGGAAGTTACCATCGCCGACGTGGCCAACAATGGAGCTCTTAAGCCCACTCTTCTTGAGGTCGTCCTTGGTCAGATCGATGATGTCAGGGAGCCTGCTCATGGGCACGGCGACATCGCCAGTCCAGAGGTGCTCGCCGGGCTTCTTGATGCTGAAGGTGCTCCACAGAGCCTCCTTGCGCGCGCTCCAAAGCTCTTCCTGCTCGTCGTTGCTCTTGGCAAACTCGAACGTCTGGCCGCCCGTCTGCTTGGAGAGACCCTGGACGATGGCGACCTGCTCCTTGACGCCATTGGGGGTGCCGCTGAACTTGAAGAAGATGGTGGGGGCCTCCTTCCACTGGCGGCTGGTCACGCCGGCCTGGTTGATGATGCGCATCTGATCATCGTCCAGGATCTCGACGGCGGCGACGGGGACACCGTTGGCGACAACGGAAGCGACGCAATCGGCGGCCTCGCGGATGGACTTGAAGCTGGCGACGGCGACGGACTCGGAGGCGGGCTTGACGGTGAGCTTAAGGGTGGCTTCGGTGACGAGACCGAGGGTGCCCTCGGAGCCGATGAAGAGCTTGGTCAGGTCGTAGCCGGCGGACGACTTGCGAGGGCGCTGGCGAGTCTTGATGACGGTGCCGTCGGCGAGGACGACGGTCAGGGACAGAACCCACTCGCGCATGGTGCCGTAGCGGTAGGCGTTGGTTCCGCTGCAGCCGGTGCCGATCATGCCGCCGATCTGGGCGCCCGGGCCCGGGTCGGGAGGGAAGAAGAGGTTGTCGTTGGCCAGGTCCTCGTTGAGATCCTGCCAGCCGACGGCGGGCTGGACAACCACATCGAGATCCTCCTTGTGCAAAGCCAGAACCTTGTTCATGCGGCGGAAGTCGACGCAGATGCCGCCGCGGGTCGGGGTGAAGTGGCCCTCGAGGGAGGTACCGCCGCTGTAGCCGACGACGGGGATGGCGCGGGTGTGGCACACCTTCATGAGCTCGGACACCTCCTCGGTGGTGGAGGGGTAGACGACGCAGAAGGGCTTTTGGGAGGCATCGGACTGGTGGGAGGACCAGTCCGAGTTGGAGTGCTCCTCAAGGTCGTAACCGGCGGTGCTGACATTCTCTTCGCCGACAATCTTCACAAAGTCGGCCCAGGCAGCCTCGAGGTTGGCCTTGCTGGTGTCGTGTCTAGGGGGAGTGGTCTTGGCGAGAGGGAGGGTAGAATCGGCGGAGACCTCGCCCCTGGGATACTGGGTGCCCACGAGCCAGCCGAGACCGGCCGTGAAGATGAGGACTGCGCGCGCATTCGTATGGGTTAGCCTGGAGCGTACTGGCGCATCAAAGCAGCTTTGACGGGGACTTCATACGGCCAGTAAGGGAAAAGTTGTTCCAGCCGGCACGCGACTGACGGTAGGCGGCCATGCGAATGCGCTCGGCCTGCTCACGCTCCAGGCGCTGCGAGACACTCTCGGTCAACTGGCCCTTGAAGCTGCCCTTGACATTGTTCGAGTATGACCGGGCAGACCGGCTGCCGGTAACGGAGACATTGGACCTGACGGCGACCCGGCCGAGGCCCTTGGAAGCCCTGCTCGCGAGCTGCGACATTGTTGTAGCAAGTTGTAACTATGGTATGGCTGTAGTTGAGAGTTGGAGAACTCTGCGGTCTTTCAAGTAGGTACAAGTAGGTTGAAAAATGATGGGAAGGGGTTGTGTAATGATGCAATAGCTGTGTACGGCCCGCGGATCACCTTGGCGACGGCTTTCACTGGCTTGGCGACGGGGAGTCGGCCGGGGCAGATGGGGAGAACATGGAGAAGGGTGCCCTGGGCGGGAAACGGGACGGCCGGGATGGGAGTTCGTGAGGGGAACGGCAGGAATGGGGCATTTGGGGCAAACAAGTGCCCGTAGCACGCAAAAGGTCATAGCTCCCTCCCCCGCAGTTGCCCGCACCGGGTCCGCATCGGAGCACAGCACCGAGCGAGCAGCAGGGACAACCTCGCGAGCGGGAAGAATCACGGCTGAATAGCTGCAGGTCTTCTCCACCGAGAGCTCCTCGTCTTCGCTCTTTCTTCGGCCGTCTCGGCTGTACAGTTGCCGAACTCCATCCTGCTTCAGTTGTTTACTTTTAACCGTGAATATCCTCACATATCCACCGGTATCCGCGGTGTTGGCTCGTGCTGCTGACCAGCCATGCTGTCAGCGGCCGTATCGTCATCCGGATGGTCGAAGTTCTGATCAACACGTCCGATGTGACATCGCTCCAGCAGACGTCTACAAAGATCTTCAAGCTTAACCCACTCAAACTTCTTCCATGGAACATTCGACCAGCAGATCGCCTTCAAGAGGAGAGAGGAGAAAGTACACGTTATTTGAAAGCCGGAAGGAGCTCCGATGCCGGCGCGGGCCCCGATCCGGTCCCGACTGACGACGACCTCCGAACGATTTACATATCCCGGGGCCGGCCCGGTAGACGTTTCTCACTTCAGATATTATCCGGCTAGTATGTCCTGGTCGTAAACGGATTGATCACGACAACATAGATGAAGATGATGAGGACGGCTTCGCTACGAGAGACGCAGTTCAAATCGGAAACAGTACCCAACCTATCAACTTTCGCAGGTAAAACTACTGGTTGGTATTCACCCGCTGCCCACAAAGATCAACGACAAGTGTCACTGAGGGTCTATCCTATCCCATTGGTCAGACCCTGTTTTCATCCAAGCAGTTCAACACCAACGCCTTTCAGGCAAATGTTGCTGGAACATAATCCCAGACACGGGCCGTAACCATGGCCGAGGAAAGGAGACCAGTGCGTTCTTGTCTCGATATGCATCAACCGAACCGGTACACACAAACATTTTTCATTCATTGGGTCTTTCACGCCTTCAAAATGGTACCTCAAAAATCCTCATGACGCCCGCACACTCACATGGTTCCTAAGCCGAGCCTAAATCTTCACCTGCCCCTTCGCAGCCCCCAAAACATCCACCCACTCCCTCGGCCTCTGCCTGCCCCCCTCATACGCCTCAGCAAGGTACCTCTCCAGCTCCCTCGCAAAACCCAACAGCCTCTCCTCCTCTCCCCACTCAGCCATCGCCATCACGCCCACCGGCAGCTTACCCTCCCCCTGCTGCGCCTCCACATACCCTCCGGGGCACGTCACGGCCGGACACCCGCTCGTGTTGGCATACCACACATACGTCATATTCCTAATGCTCCTATTCCCATCACTGCACCCGTACGCTTCGTCGCCCGGCATGATGGGCCACCCGGCCATGGGCGTAGTCGGTGACACGATCAGCAGACCGGGGTACTGCTCGTACAGGTGGGCGAGGTGCTGCATAATCACCTGGCGCAGCTGGTTGTAGCGCAGGTAGTCGGCGGCGGGGGTCTGGGCGCCCATCGACACCATGATGCGGTTGGGGTAGTTGAGCGGCTTGAGGTAGTCGTCCGGGTTGGTAACGCGGTTGCGCGCGTCGGCCGCCGCCTCGGTCAGGCAGGTCGCGGCGTGAGCGAGCTGGCCCTCGCGCAGGTAGGGCAGCTTGATGGTGACGAGCTCGTAGCCGCCGAAGGAAGGGCTGCTGCAGAGCGTCTCGATGGCCCGGTTGAAGGTGGTGCGCACGTCGGCGTCGGCGAGGGCGATCCATTCGGGGCAGAGGCCGAGATACTTTTTGGCGGTAGGGGAGGGTGGGATGGACGGGGCGAGAGAGGATTGGGCGGGGTCCGAAGGGTTGGGTTGGGCCATGATCCGGTAGGCGATGGTCAGGTCGGATGGGTTGGAGCACATGGGACCGACGACGCACATGGATGAGTTACGACTGACGACCCGGTTGTGGGTGGGCTTGAGGCCGTAGACGCCGCAGAAGGCGGGCGGGATGCGCATGCTGCCGCCTGTGGTCCGGTTGGGTTAGTGAGACCGGCTGCTTCTTTGAGGCCATGACATGACAATCGAGGTAGGAAGTAGAGATGGTCAACTTACCGGCATCAGTACCGATAGCGATAGGCACAAGGCCGGCGCTGAGGGCAGATCCAGCACCAGATGACGAGCCACCGGGGAAGTACTTGGTGTTGTACCAGTTCGTAGCCGTTCCCGTAGTAGGGTTGCAACCCGTCGTATCTGTACCGCTCACATTATCAGCACATCCATCTATATCCCTTACCCCTTCTCTCTCTCGCACTTCAAACCAGCAAGTCACTCATCAGTCATGCACTCACCCATGCCAATCTCATGCTGATTCATCTTCCCCACCATGATCGCCCCCGCCTCTCTCAACTTCTTCGCCGGCCACACCGTCTCCGTCGCCGGCTTCTTGAAATACTCAAACCTCTCATCAACCTTCATGCCCATGGTGGAGACATAGCCCTCCACCTCGGTATCATCTTTCACACCAAACGGCACGCCATCCAGGACGCCCAACGGCCTGCCGGCTTGCCAACGCTCCGTCGACGCCTTGGCCTCCGCCAACACCTCGCCCACCTTGGACTGGATGAAGGCCACGGCGTACTTGGACTGCTGCTGCTCGGGCTTGATGTCGCGCCGGATCAGCGGGAGGAGCGCGTCGATGACTTGAAGCGGAGTGAGCTGCCCGGAGGCGTAGGCGGCGTGGTAGTCGGCTATGGAGTTGAAGCGGCCCGGGACGGTGGGGGGTTGAGGGGTGGTGAGGGAGGGGTCGAAGGATAGAAGGGTTTGGGTGGAGGTTTCGGAAGATGAAGATAGGGGGATGACGTTGGGCTGTTGGCCGGGTGTTAGTTGAGGCTCATTTGAAGTTAAAGAGGCCCAAGAGTGATGAGGGAGATTAAGTAAGAAGGTGAAGCGGGAAGAAACTCACCTGTACCCTCCATTGTTCACCGTTCAGCTCGGACATAGACCTAGCCTGCCCAAATTTGGCGTTGCTCCACATGAACTTTTGAAGCCATTGCGAGTTGGAAACGCTGGGGTTTGAGTTGATGTGTCAGTGAGTGCATGCTTTGGATATTGAATCTTGTCGTCGAGACCATCCACGAAAGAAGTACTACTGACAGCATCGAAGCAGCTACCAACGGCAGTCCACGCATGGGAGGATTGTGGTCCGCCTCAGGCTTGAACTCCAAGACGTGAGCGGGAGCCTCCTTGGCCCCCGGGTGATTGAGGAATTTCTTAGTTGAGGCCATCGCGAGGTTGGGGTTATCACTGTGATTGGTGCCGCTTGGAGTCGAAAGGGACGGGAGGGGCGGTCGTGTTGACGTGGGGCGACGATATTGAACCAGGAACTGATATGAGATGAACCGGCTCTGTTCACGTCGTCATCGATCACCGAGTCTGGTGTCTGTGATCAATTGAGAGATATGGGTAATCAACCCAGGAAAAAGAACAGATGGCTTGTCACAAACTCTTACTGTTGTCAAGAGCGACCTATCTTCATCCATTGAGGCTTCGCGATACGATTGGTTTGTTCAGGCAGCTATCTGACGCTAACAGCGGAGAGGTCGCGATAAAGGTGAAGCTACCTGCATATGGTGGGAATAACGCTGCTCCAGAGCTCCAAGGTACTTGGCGCCTGTTAGGAGTCATTGGATATGGATTGAGTGAGGTGGTAGCTTGTGAATAATGGACGCTGCCGCATTGGGGCGGTGCCGAGGCTATAAAACCAAGCAGGTAATAGGCCCGAGGCTCACTTTGAGGTCGTACTCGTCACCAGCCGCTAGTCAGGGAGATTTTCTATCCCTGACGAGTATCTGTTAGTGATTAGAGGGACGGGGAGCATTCGGACTGACCGAGCAGGCAAAAGGCCATCAAAGTAACTTCAATGTTCAGGAACATGCGTGCAGAAGACGAGATATTCCAATCGGTTTCGATAATTGCGCCTATCTCCTCTGTTTATAGACCGTCTGATGGCCAAAGCTCTTGTTTTCGATTCGGTTCAAGACTGCGTCTAACGACGCAAGGTACCGCTTAAACTCCAGGAAGCGAGTGAACATCAAACCTGTATCGTAGGATAGGCTCCCAAATTGGTGGTATCCCGTCGTAAGATCAATGTGACGGACTGCGCAGCCGTTACAAGCAATAGCGCTTACCTCAAAGCAATGCAACCCATCCATCCATCCGTACTTCATCCACTTACAACCTCTAACCAGAACCAAGGGATGGGGTTTTGGTATCCTCCCAGCCCCCACCTCTAGACGACATCATAATCATCACACTGAGATCACGAGTGGCAAGAGCACTTATAGTATGTTGTTTGACTTTTACTGTATTGTTTGTATGTGTCTGTCCTTTGACTGATTGCCAGTCGATACTTGAAAAGTAACCAGCTCTAAAGGCTGAGGATCTAGACTATCTGAGGAGTAGCTGATGCTCAATGTCCATCGCCATGCTCTCTAAAAGCGCGTTGCGCGTTAAAATCAAACGCTGGGGAGTCCTGCTGCGCAGTACTATGATCCAGTTCCTAATCGCCATCCCATGCAAAATCCGTTCTAAGCCCTATGCAGTGTCATAACAGGCATTCTCCTCGCTCTCGGAGCGTTGCTCCGTCGAGGGCCTTCATCATAATGAGTGTAAGAAAAGTAAAAAACCGCCACCGGATGCAAAAACTCCAGTGCATGAAAAAAAAAAAAAAAAAGTACCAAAACGCCTGTCGCTGCTCACTTCCCTGTCCAAGCGGGAAGGGCTAGGGTACAAAGACCCATTGATGCATGCTGATGAAAAGCAAATAACGCCCGCTGCGCCTTCTTGTGCAGAGAAAAGTTGCCAGCCCATTGTATGTTGACTGATGAGAAAAAATATCGCTTAATGAGATGCTGAGAGCTGATGATTTCGTGACTCGTGGACGACTTGTGACGTCCGTTCAGATCGCTTCTTGTGAATAGAATTTGTTGTGAGGGTAGAGTGAATCAGTCGGTCCCTTATTTAGCGACCGCTCAGACGGAGAATCTTGGTCCTCAACCAGAGAATAAACTCCTGCCAGTAGTTCTGAGTCTTCCTCTTGGGTCCGCTAGACCGGCGACGAGTCTGCTCGAACTTGACATGATCCACGGGGTTGGCGACAAAGGCCGGGGGAGCGGCCTGGTCAGCCGGTACGCTCTCGTACTTGCGACTGGCGAACCCAAGACCATGCTTCTCAGACATCTCTGGTTGCGAGTTGTCGCCGCTCGTAGGGTTGGTAGCCGGGCCGATAGTGGAAGAACGGTCCCAGAATGAGGAAGCAGTAACATCGCCCTTGGAACGACTGGTCTTTGAAGAGCCGCCACTGCCGTTCTTGGTGAAGCTGAATCCCGAAGCAGTCCTGGTGGGGCCGGTAATCGAAGCGATGCTGGTTGCGGTGGGCTTGCGGGACATGGAGGGCCTTGGAAGATCGCTGAGGCTCTTTCTCGCAGACTCCTTTTCGATGCGGCTCGCTTCCTTGGTGTCCTTGCGCTCGCGCTTCTTGATCAGTTCACGATCATACTTCTCCTGGTTGGCCCTCTCCTTCTCCTCGAACTTGCGGCGCGCATTGCGGATCTTCTCGAGGCGGGCAGCTGAGTCGATCTCGGTGGAACGGCTGCGCAGACGAGGGAAGCCCGAGGTGAGATCGAGCGAGGTGCGTCCTAGGGGAGACATTGGAGTGCCGGTCGAGGATGTCGGGGACACAACAGTGGAAGCAGCACCGCCCACAGTGCCGGTAGGGGAGTCGTTCTGGCCAAGCTGGGGGTCTGTGGGGGTTGATCGGCCAGTGTTGATGTGGAGGGCCTTTGAGGCAGAGTTGGCGTCGGAATAGGAATTGGCGCGAGAGCTGGCGACAGATGGCCTTTGGCGCAAGATACTGGTAGTGTTGGACCTGACGGGAGGAGGAGGAGGCGACTGCATAGGGTGACTTGTTGGTTGCGGCTGCGCTTGCTGTGAATCAGTGGCCGTCTCGTCTTCGGTCTCTGCAATAGTAGGCGAGTAACGACCGTTATCGAAGGAGGCGAGTGAAGGGGCATATGACAGCGGCGGGGTAGCTGTACGCGGCGTCTGTTGGAAAGGATGGCAGAAAGCTCGGGAGCCACTGCCAGACGATGTTTGCGAAGCAGAGCGAGCGTGCGAGTACTTGACACGAACGTTGTTTCCAGTAGCACCCAGGTCGGCAACACTGTCCTCGTCTGCCTTTGCGGCTACAACACCTCCGGCGTACCCAAAGCTAGTGACATCCTTTGAGGACCTGTAGTTGACGCTATTCCTGTTGTTTCCGTTGTCGATGTCGAGCTGATCCACCGGCTGCTCATCCCATCCACGGTTCAAGTCCAGCGAGTTCTTTGGCGACGACGACAACTTTTTGAGAATTGGCTTGACCACCTTTGCGCCTCTGGTCTTGGTGAGTTTGTTGGGGGCAGCGCCCGTAAGGGAGAAGGACGTCATGGTTACGGAGTAGTGGGATCCTAAGTTGAGGGATCCTGAGGGGACTAGCCGCGGAAGCCGGCGCGGGGCAGGATGGGTATTATAAAAGTTGGGATGATATTGAATTTAGAAACTTGGGATTGAAGGAGCCTTTGAAGGGTAGGAGGGGTTAGATAAGATCGCACCGGGCCACCGAATTTCCTGTCCAACCACCGTAGCTTCCGACGACGATGGCTTCTTGGAGGGGGGGGACGGCGGCGATGGAAATATAAACGAGAAATTGGCCCTTGTCTGGGACCACTTGCAATTTGGGTGTCCCCAGCGGTGCGGTGGACGCGGTGGACAGGTCCTAGTCCGCTTTGGAAGTCCGCTCTGGAAGCACCCCTTCGACGCCCTTGTCTGGTGCAAAGAACCAGAGTCCCTGTCGGTTTTGTTCTCCCCGGGCCCTGTCTGGTGGAAAGCGAGTGGAAAGATGGTGAAAGCGGAAAGGTTCGAACCTCTTGCCCGGGTCCCTTGTCAGGCGCGCGTCAGGGGAGCCGCGAGGGAGCGTCTGTTAAGTTGGACTTATATACACCCGCAGTGAGCAGTGCTTTCTGCTAACACTGCACTAGCACTCACGACGGGGGCGGGGAGACGAGACCGCCAGTTTGGATGCATTGGGACTCCGCAGACGCCGCAGTAGCGAGTGGTTAGCGAGAAAGGAAAAGGCGACGAAGACTGCTTCCGCCTTTTCGAACGTAGTATCTGTGCTATGAGATGCAGCACCAGACGCTCGATGGAAAAGGCGGAGGAGGGGTAAACTCGACGACAATTCCACTTTGGATGGTGAGGAGGGGGATCGGTGACAAGACTTTGTGTCCTGCTAGGGCTGCTCAGACTTTGTGTCCTGTATCACTTGTTTGGAAATGCTCGAGATGTATCGGAGAGGTGCTTGATATGCAAGCACAAGGCCATCAATAAAGTGCGAGTTAATGCAGCCACAGCCCAAGTTCCTGTTTTCTGGGCTGTCCCGCTCTGCAATTTCATTTCGCCTGCGACCTTGTGCCAGTGGCTTTCTCGCTGCACGGGCTGAAAGGAGATCTCCCGATCTGCGCGCTCAAGTGACGAGATTGCCTCCTGGATTTCTTTCCATCTTTAGACTTTTTCGATGGCTATTCTCTCCTTTCCGCTTCTCATCATCACCAATTGAGCCCAAGGTGGAATCCCACTTTTGTGCATGCTGCACATCTCTACCTAAGCTAAAGTACACTACGAACTGCAGCGCGCACTCGCAACTCGCAGTCCATGCAGGACATCCGACTAGAAAGTTGACCACTTGGACGGCGCCGCTCAATGGGGGTCCCAATGGGGTCGGCCTTTGACAAGGCAGGCTTCTGATTGATTGATTCAGCCTCATTCCTCATTTCCAAAGCCCTTCTGCGCTGCCAGTAATGAAGCTGCAGCAGCGTCGTGATGCCAGTCACCGCACCAAAGCAGCACCAAGGCACCCGCCAACCCACCAGTCTGCGTGCGTGGTGCTCTTTCGAGCCATCATGCGCCCAGGCGGCTGTGGGGAGAGGAGAGGAACCCCCAACATGGACCCTCTTCCCCAAGCTGCATTAGGTTGGGAAGAGTGTAAAGAGTGGATACGCACGCTCAAGTGTTAGCAGTAAGCAGGCCGCATAAGCCAAAATCCTTAACAAAAAGACCTTGACCGCCTTCAGACCGCCTTCAAGCTTGCTGCTGCACCAGCTGCACTGCTTGCAGACCGTAGAAAACTCTGCGAGTCTGGTCCAACCACCGACCAATCGATACAACATGATCTTGCGGCCGCTTGTTGGTTCTGGCTTCCGGGTCGTCGCCGCCCGTACGATGAGAAAGACACCGACTCTTAAACCTCGAGGCCTGGAACTTGAGAGGTCACATTTTGCACATATCAATCAGAACACTGCTCAGACCACGCTATCTGGCCTGACCCACGGGCAATGATATCCATCACCATAGGAATCCATGTCCCACTCTGCAGGACGAGGCCAATGGATCGCAGTGGGAATCGCACCCGGCATCGTCGTCGTCCATGTACCGCATCGACCAAGGCATGCAGGCATTGGTCAACATTGTTTCAGTATCACGTTTCACACAAAACGTTTCTCATGGCGACAACAACAAAAACAACAAACAATGGTGGTGATGATTGAGGACGCACAGGCCACCTGTTGGTTCGTGTGCCACTGGTCACTGGTCCCCTTTCCCTCTTCAGCCAGAGCCCACTCTTTGATGGCCTTGTCAACGAACAAATGGCTCGCCGGCACAATTCACAACCTGCTTCGGCCATTTTGATTCCTCACAAGTCCAAACCAGCTCTCACACATCGCAAGCATCGCAAGACACTGCCGGGCTTTCGGCTGGCCCAGGGTTCCATTCGGTGGCCCAGGCGCTCAGTAGCGTCCATGATAGCGCGCAACCACCGCTGCGAGAAGTGGGAACTGGACTCACCCACTGGAGCAAACCGGCAACTCCTTCAGCAACCCCGTTGGTGGTCTTCTTCACAGGTCCTGTCCGGTACGGTTCCGCGACGCCGAGGGGCAAAAAGTGAGCATGGGATGCTTGAGGAGCGGTGACCAGCACAATCAGAAACGATAGCAAAAACCGTGCATCGTAAACAGCCCGGAGAAACTCGAGAGCGACCTATAAAGTGGCGGACTACCAGCATCGAACGTAAAAGACTGCATCGACGATGCAACTATCACCTGCTGCTGGGTAGGGCTAGAGCTAAACTCGAAACTACGGTATGTATAATGGCAAGTGAATTGCATAACGGCCGTGTTCTTGCTCACATGTTCGAACGACGGGAGCGAAACAAGCCGCCCTCAAAACAAAGAAGCTACCGGAGTCCGGAATTCAGATGCCCCCCTTTGTTTAATTAACTTTTTGCTTCACAGCCTCAGTGGGTTATATGAGTATCCGGAAGATCGGGTCTCTCTATTTCTGACTTCCTCTTGTCTGAGTCGGGTCAAGCCAGAATCTCATGATAGGGGATATGTCGACCGAACGGCGACCGCGAACGGCCTGGGCTACAGAAAGATGGATTCGCGACGGGTATCCAGGAACGGACAGAGTGGGAGAGCTTCCAGAAACAGGGGTTCATCGCTCCACCAACTCAAATGAGTTTGGGTCCTTGAATCCGGAACCTACCAGCTGCCTACCTCTTCCCAGCAGACGATGCCAGAGTCCGTACGTTTGGCACATCCAGCAAACACCACACAGTCTCGACAGCACGCGCAGCACATCAAGGAACCACAGAGCCACCGTCCAGAGCCACAGCACCTTCCCAAACCGGCCCAAGGCGCCCTCGCTCACCAACCACAAGCCTTCGTTTTCCATCTCCACTGTCAGGCTTCAACCAGTCCAGTTGCACCACTCAGAGGCTGGCTTGCCAGGGGCCATCCACTCACCGACCTGTTGACATGCAGTGCAGTTCATGGCCTGCAGTGTCGCTCGCTCCCAGTTCGGTTGCTACTGCAATTGCGCAAATCCCGCGTTCGCGTTGTCGGTCGGGGAGGTCGGGGTCGGTTAGTCGGCCGGGTTACAGTCCCCGGGCTCTTCTGCGGAGCTGCGCACAGAACGCTTTGCGGTTCGTGTCTCTCTTCTCAGTCCTCTGATTCGCCCGGCCTTTCCCTTCTCTTTTGCTTCTTTTCCTTCCAAGTCCCACACTTCCTCCACAGGTCAAGGGTCAGACCGACTTCTGGGAGTCGTGCACGGGTTCGCTTCCCGTTAGCTTTGGTGGCCCTCAAGGTTCTCGGTTCGGTTCGCTCTGTGAGAAACTGCTGACTGAGATCAAAAAGTCTCCGAGTAAAGAGGACGAGGAGGATCACCAAAGAAGTCTCTGGGTTTCTAGCTCCAGCACTTGAAAAATGCCTCGTTGTGTTTTGTTTCTATTCACGGCTCGCTTGAAGCACAAGCGAAAGCAAACCCGTGGGTTGTTTATGGGATTAGGACGGGCAGAGCAAGTGGTGGATGCAGTAATTAAACGCGACCTGATGCGCTGTGGATAGCCTTTCCATATCCGTCAACTCTTCCACTGGTGCACGGTCGCACCACCACGCGAGCTCTTAACATTTCGTTCGGTTCGCAGCGAGGATCCTCGAAAAATGGCCCAAATGCCGCCAAAGCTCATTTCGTTGACCAAGCTGAAAGTTGCGGCTCAGGTATGAATGCTGCTGCTGACGCTGTTGCCATGTGCTCTTTGTCTCCAGATTCGATGCTCTGCGCAATAGTACGCTTGGTTGAGCATGTGCCGCGTCTGCTGCTCTGATCAGGTCACGGGATCGATATCAGTGGATGTTGCCCTGGCCAAGCTCTCCGGGTTGCTGGGAACCGGGCCGATGGGGCACCTTTGCTGCAAATCATCCTGTTAGTGAGCAAGTGTCTTCTACCTTGAACTACAGTGAGTCGGTGGTACTAACAGGCTAGCGAGTCACAGCGTGGCTCTAACATATGTCTAACACCTACTGGGTACAGCTACATTTGTACTAACATCAACGCTTTGGCTTTAATTGGGATCGACCTCCTCTGTACGTCAGTGACGCCCTATTCACACTTCACGATCCAAGTAGATCCTATTGTCCTTGGTGTCAACATGAACCGAGCAAGTTCTTGGAGTTTCAAGTCAAGTCGCGCAAACGTTCATGTCACCGTCTGACGTCGGGGTCCTGCATCGGGTAGTGACAATGTAGTAGGTGATGGGAGTTGGTCGACGGCCAGTATCAGGTTGAAGCAAATTCGGCATGTTTGGCATTTTGCAGCCGAATGATAAAAAAAAGACAGAAAGGTATCAGAAATTACCTATCCCGTAAACCGACTTTACAGCAGTTTGTCTGAAACCGATGGGTACGTGCCTGATCCGAAGCCGGTTAAGAGATTCTGATTGATGATGTTTGCTGAGGTTGTACTACACAACATGAAGCAGCAACTCATGCCAATGCCAATCAGCCCTTTCGCTTGATGATCAGATTCAAGCCCGACATGGTTATCGGAAGCAAGCTTTGGTCTGTTACAACTGGCAATCCCTTTTCGCTCCCTTTCGTTCTTCTTTGCCTGTTCTGTCTGAGTGTACACACGGGCTCCTTTATTCAGATGTGTCAAAACTCCCGACTGGGTTTTGGTAGACGAACAGATGTGGAAAATTCTTAGACAAGTTGACAACAACGTTCGGAGCCGCATCGGACACTGTCAACGCGTCTGATGTGATCAGGGCTGAAAGCAATTTAACGGCTCAAATTTCAACGAGTCGACACTCACAGGTCTTGGAAAAGCCAGTCTGAGAGGTAGAAATGCCCGAAAAGTGGTGTTGTGTTACTCCCAAACCGTTGGATTGCATAAAGTAGGGCGGTCGTCAACTCACCTGTACCTGAAGACCTGTCGGTCATCGTACAGCATGGAGTAGTACGTGGTTTATCGTCTTTCGCTGATGTCCATTGGATTTGAGAGCTCGAGCATGTGAGGCAAGAGAGTGATTGATCCCACAGGAGTCCATCGGCAGTTGAAGTACCAGTGACGAGATGCAAGTACAATGCCCAGTTAGAATTGTTAGTAGTGAGTGATTTTGCATAGGTAAACAATCGAGGGAGGCTACCGGGTACATAGCGCATGGCCATCGATATCACTAGTACTCGCACAGAAAGAGTGTCGAGATACGGTGAGGAAAAGGCCCAGGGCAAATTCGATATCATCCCATCACATGTCATAGTTCTGTTGTAACCAACGAGACGTTCTATCTGCCATGAGGACTACCAGACACTCCGAGTTCCACTGGACTATATCATAAAAAGACGTTCACTAAAATGGAAACCATGTGGTCCTAGACCAGCTCGTGATATTTACCGCGGTCTTCACCTTTCCAAATCACCTCCATCGTGAGCCATAGGATGACTTGGCTGCCTTTACACGTCCGAATCCATTTCTCCTAGTGTATATATAGTACTCGGCTCCGGTGGCATTCATCATATCACTCCGTAAATCAAACTTTTGACTATGTGACCCGGTGTTAGACTACTCCATCACCTATCCACCATGGCTTCGCTTCACTGACCAACAGAACCCGAACCAAGCCTTCTAACTAAGTAGAGAAGCATTCAGATGCGGTGGCTTTGGGTTATCCTCTCGTAAACATCTTAGATGAACGAAGGGATAACGGACCTTAACTCCATCCTTACCTATGGGCCTGAAGTTCTTCTGTTCCTTGCCACGAGAGGAACATTCCCAGAGAAGAAGGGTCACGGAGTGGCATCTGAATAACTTGGTGAATTTCTACATGGCCCTGACAAGATACCGAAAACCCAGAGGCTTCTTCTACACAATCCGCCATTTGCATCGTTCAGCCGGTTTATGGATATGAACCGTTTCAGAGCCCGTTAAGCAGATAGAGGGGGGCTCTGCCAGCCAGTCCGCCAAAAGTTCAAAGGGAGATAGATACCCAAACAATATCAAGGGTTGGATAAAAACTCGAACGCAAGTACAGAAGCACCCTTTCCTTAGATTCTCAATATACTGCTTCTCTTCTAATGACTCCGAGACCATAGACTTATGGGCAAAACAGCTGAGTCCGCAACAAAAACACCCTTACTTAGCTTACTGTGCCAGTCAAGGAGCGATGGTTGACATCAAACAACAAGGGAGGTATCAAGGAGACAAAATTCCAACCGGCATTCCTCTATATTGTTGAGCAGACTCGGATATGGCGCTGGCATAAATTATTGTGGTCGGTGATAATTGAGGGCCGAGAAAGAGCAAACTGCTTCGATACCCTCGCAATGCCTGTCAACTCCAGGCCACGATGCTGTTGGAGAAAGGAATGAGGGGCATATTCGTTGCCCCGGCCCTAGTAGGTCAATGTAATCAATACCGCGACGGTATCAGACTCTCATCAACATGACGAGTCCGTTCAGTCTTCGTAATCTTGAGTGTTAAAAGGGGTAGTAGAGCGATCAATTTTATCATAGTTAAGGATGGCACTCACTAACAGAGGTCTTAACCTTCGGCCAGCCGGCGTCGTAAGTGGAAGTTACTCGTCACGATTTTGCCCGAGCCACTGCCTTTAGTCATTGCAACAGCTTCGACGGCAGTGACAACTGAACGACTCGGTAGTGAGCAATCAAGAATCAAGAGGGAAGTCGCGAGGCGATTGGTCTGGCAACCACGGAAACAGTGCATGAGCCACTCCTCAATATCATGGGTAACTGAACTACTCGGCTTCCGAAACGCGCCGTGGAAAGAGGGTGTGTGTTCAGGAAGGAACACTCAGCTGAGAGAACTCAGTCGCGATTGCGTGTCGGTCAGTAGTGAGATGTGACGAGCGAGTCAATCAGAAAGTCTAGTGAACCAGGGACTAGATTGAGAGTACCCTGCAAAGAGTAAGTAGGAAGTAAGTAGTTGCCCTATCAACTGGGCTTCGAGGGACTCATGGCAAAATTGAAGAGACCACAAACCTTCTATCGTGCCATTCCAGGGCCGAGATTCTTTCCCAGAAAGTTCCTCTGTAATTGCAAAGGGAATCCAAGTTCCCTTGGAGTCGGCAATGCCATCTGAGGAGACAACTTAACTCGACAGAAGCGAGCATCACTGGCGATGCAGTGCAGAAACTGAAAGAGAAAGAGCGATTTGGATGAACCAACACCCTCGACAACTCAACTCTGTCCACGGCCCATGACAATCATGCCGGATGGATCAGTAAGGAAGGAGCGAGGGTTCAGGGAGAGGGCAGATGTACCTTTGTTAGTGAGGCATATGCTTAAGTATGTAAAACGCCGCAGCGCCAGGGGCTAGGTGTACAGAGGGCAGAGTTGGGAGGAGGATTCAACGCTCTACTACCCCTTCTAACAAATATTTCCCTAGTGTACCTATTATAGAAAGGGTTCCTGCCGAATGTATATTCTCGGTGACCGTGACCGGGGACTGAGGATACCTTATGGTTTTTCTCTCGGAAACCGTTGTGAGCTATCAACGGTGGAGCAACCGTTCTTCCCCGGCAACCGCCCAGCAACCGTAAGTTTCTCAAAAGGTACCCCAGCTAAGTGATACGTAAGGCAACGAGTAGTGATACTCTAGCATACTTAGCTGAAAGAACTTCATCGATGACGAAGAGCGAAGTGTAGGTAAGCAACGAGGTTTCTTATCAGGTGGACTTGATCTCGCACATCACTTAGCATTTGAAACATCGTGATCATTAACCTCGAAGTACAGTAGTAGTCACAAGCACTTTACCTCACTGGACTGCATGATTCAGTCTTTGTTTCTGAGACGCCGCAGGAGGTGAGCAAGCACTAGATTGGAAATATCAAAGCCACAAGAAAAGTATCCCAACAGCCGAGTAGTGAGAGAGACACTCTTGTTGTAAAACCACTTACCGGAGAGACCGTCTCCCTAAGAGTGTCGCTGAAGTTGCGGTGCAGTGAGTGCAATACAGAGCAACAGTCATCCAACCTCAAGTTGCTCCCGTCGAGGTCGTCACTACACGGCGGCCGGCTTGCAAAGTGACGGTGACGCAGATCTCTCAATTCTAAGTATCCTGCTATTACCCCAGTCAGGTCGGTCAAGACAGGAGGAATGTTCCTTCCCTTTCCCTATCAACTTGATCTTCAGGTTCTTCCAATTCGTTAATCTAATATCTGCAGTGCAGGAAGGTCGCTCTTGCTTCAGGGAGGAGCACAGAATTGGGCCTCAGCTGGCGGGAGAGAAGCACGGCGGCTGGAAAGCGGGATTCTCTGCGTCACCACACGCCCCTTCCATCACCCTAACCACTCACGAACTCTCCATCTCGCTCAACATCCTCTCACCAGCGGCCCCGCGTGGCAAAAAGGAAAAGGATTATGGAAAAAAGAAAACAAGATTCACAGTAGTACGGCACTATTACTCTCCTCGGGAACGAACACGGAGGATGTTGTCGACACGCGAAACAATCCCAGTTTTGCTCG